GTAAAATGAATTAATGCCCTTCTGGCTCCAAAATGATAAAATAACGGAGATAATCAAAGTGTAACCAAGCAAAACTAGTTGACAGACAAAAATTCATTGCATTTTATGATGACCAGTAGTGAACCTACCATCTCCATAATGCATGGCAAACGAGTTAATTAGGTTAAGTGTTGCCTTAAAAGAGAGCATGCAATGGAAACTAGTTTTGTCATATTCTATCAATGAATAAATCATCTGAAGCATGTGCGTAACAAGTGTCACTAAACACGTGTTGCTACATATTGCAGATCACATGATGAAAAGGACCCAAAACGTTGAAAAGAGAATGAATATTTGAAGACATATCAATATTGAAAATATTCCCAGTTTCATCAATGTTTCATTGATGAATTGTGAGCAGAAATTGTACAATATTTTACCTCTGTAATATTTTTTTGTTGATCAGCTGTTTTTGATCTGTTTTCATTTACTGTGTGTTCTAGCAGCTCTTTTGTGAAAATGGTGTTTTGTGATAACCATTCAAGTCAATCATCTCTGAAATGTACAATGCTTAAAAATGTTATAATTGTTAGGGTGACAAGCTAAACAATATGAAATATATATTTTTAGAGTGCCATATTATTTCATAATAGGCCTATTGTGCACAAGTGGGACTTGCAGTTGATACAACACATGTTGATGCTTCGTTTCCAAACTACTATTTTGTAAAGACCTTAATGCTACATTTATCATGGCAATTCCTCTTCCACTAATAGTTGACAAGCTTGTAATCTAAAACTATTTTAGCAGAAGCACAAGGCAGATAAACACATACATGTCAGAAAACCTCTTTGACCAAAAAAAATCTGATTACCTTGAGATGTTTTAACAAAAAATTTATGCTTTGAGATGATCTAACATTCCAGCAGAATTACTCAAGAAATTATGAGATCTTTAAAATCTAAACAAGTTCATATTTTCCTCTCATAATTGCACAAAATGTAATTATTTTCTTCTCTCTCTCCCTCTCTTTCTCGTTAATTCTCTTCCATTCTTTTTCTATCGACTAATTTTTCTCTTTCTTTTCATTTCTCCTTTTCATCCTTTCTTGCTCCCTCCTTCTCTTTCTCTCTCTCTCTCTCTCTCCCATCCTCCCTCCTCTTCTCTCTCTTTCTTTCTTGCTCTCTCTCTCTCGCTCTCTAATTCTCTCCCTTCCTCCCTCTCTCCCTTCCTCTCTCCCTCTCCCCTTTTCTCCCTCCCTCCCTCCCCTTGTCTTTCTCTCTCTCTGTACCTAACTGTATTTCTCCAGCTATTTTCCCTTTCATTTATCTTCCCATCTTATTTCAATGTAATCAAGTGTGGATAGAGAGAGCAATCACATTTCTAAAGTAATAAATACATCAATATTTTGAGATAAAAGGTCTTTTTTTTCTTCTCTCAAGTGCACATTGATAGACTTTCACAATACACACATTTTCCTGTAATTTTCATCTATTTTCAGCAAGCATGAGCCAGATCATTAAATTCTCTTTTGTAAATTTTTCATCAAGTTTTTTAATATTTGAAGATTCCTTTCTGGTCACAGTCACTGAACTGGGAGATGCTAATGTGCCTTTCATTGTAATAAATTCAATATGGCGCAGTGTGATACCCACAACCCCCACACAGATACCATCTGTTGAGTAGCATCAATATTCATGCAAGACTTCTTTTATATTATGTGGATCCATGATGTGTAGAAAGCTAATAACATACTAAACATGAGTTGGTGGTAGTAGTCTACACTGGAAAACCCCTTTAGCCCAGGGATACTATCTGCCACAGAGTAAAGCAAAAAGGGACAAAAATATATTCTTTTCTTGCCAACACTTTTTGCACTAAGAATGTAAAAAAACATATATAAATTCTACATTCATGGAAAAAGTGTAAGTTCTTTCATATCAAACAGTTGAAAAACAGAAAAATCCACATATGGCTGTTTATTTTGTATGCATATATTTCAATTCAGATATACATCTTCCATTCACGAAGGAAACATAATTTTATCAAATTTTATCAAATACCTCCTAACAATATCAGAATATTAGAAGCTATAACCTGTTATAGGCCAGAACAATAACAATAACCTCAAAAGTGGCTCCAGAAATAATTATTCTTAATAAAAATTGTGCCTGGTAATAAACATTTACCCCCAATGCTAAGAAACCCATCAAACCACCAATGCTCTTTAAATTTAATAGTTATCTTAATGTTTGTCTTCAACAGTTACTAGTTCACCAATGATATCCTATGATTGTATACAAAGGATTTCCGGCAAGAAAGTCTGGTAAAGGTTTTCCTTCTACAATATTATAAAACTCATCACAGTATAAGAATATCATTGTGATAGAAAATTATCACATTTTGCGTGATCAAAGATAAAAACACAGTTCATATCAAACTGAAATGTCTGAAATGTATGATTAAGCACATGTACCTGTAAAGCACTTACTGCTGTAGCTTAGTGTTTTCTCCATCTGAAATGCCTTGTAAATATATAATCTCAACTAGAAATCCAACTAACTAGAAATATCCATGTAAACACATTTATATGCACCAGCAGAACCAGTGGCAATTCTTGAGAATGTTCTCCAATTATCTCTTTAATTCTGATTTTAAAAAGATCAACTTTCACTGAAGAATACTTATTCTTTTTTTGTCCAATATGCTGATTTTACGCTCCCTCAGTCGAATACAGAGATCAGAAATACACCAGCGAGGCTGTCTCAGACAAATGCTCAAATTATCCATCATTCCTGCTACGCGCGCGGTCACGTTTGGGTCACAGTAAGCTAGGATTCCCCCCCCCCCCCTGCGTTATTTTCCCCCTCTTCCATATTTCCAGGGGACTCTTCTTCTTATTGATACCAATTGAGATGCATTAGGATTTGTGTCTCCTAGGTGTCTTTGATGTTTGCCGCCCGATCATGGATTTACTTTCTCGGCAAACTCCTCTGATCTCTATATTGAGTGGATTTATATAGATGGGCAAGATGATTTGAGGAGAATTTACTTTTCATTCATTCCTTGATACCTTTGCAAATACCTTTCTATTTTTTTCTTTCAGTTTTTGTTTTGTTTTGTTTCCCACTCCCCCCCCCCCCATCCTTTATCTTTTCACTCAATTATTTTGAGTATAATGCCTTTGATTCTTTCTTTTTTCTTCATGAGTCATCAAAATATATATATCATGGAGTAAATGAAGGAAATGTCACTGCCTTCACACACACAAATTAAATAATGTTTTATTTTCTAAGTTTAACAAAAAATTAACAAAGAGTGAACTGAATCACCTTGGAAAATGTATTTCTGTATACTAGACACCTATACATAGATTTTATCATACTTGCCAAACATCTACAGCAAAATTTAGGAATATCCTAGCTTAGGTCAAAATTTTAAAAAGAGTGTATTTTCAGTGCTTTTATACAGATGTTTGAAGAAAAAAAGGAATATGGGGTTCATAACATTAGTTTCAAGACAAACAAAATTGAGCATTTTCCTCTCAAAAAGGAATGATTGGCAGCTATATGCTACATGCATGGCATTTAAACAAAATAAAACAAATGTTGAATATTAAAGATAATCTAAATGAGGGGGAAGGACAATAAACCTCAATCCCTTTAAAAATGGAAAAAGAGAACAGAAAAGTGATTGATAATGGGTGTTTTCTCTAGAGCTCCAATTGGCTTTAGGGAATAGACGTATATTGCTTTTAAAAATCATGAATGTCCATAACTGGTTTTTCTAAGTAGGGAAGTGAATTAGTGGGGCCAGTGTCTTGCTAATTAGGGAAAGGAAGGTCTCTATAGTGAACTATAACGCAGGCAGTCCGCAGTGTGAAAGCCCCAAGGCACAGATGTTTTTAGCCGCTTTCCGCTTTCAAAAACATCAGAAAAATGTAACACTGATTTGTCCCTCGCTTTCATCTTTATGACCACAGAAGTGACGAGTGGAAATACAGGACATGCTAAATTGCTGATTTGATTGACATATTTGATTATTAAATTGCAGGGAATGTTCTCTCTTTGTCCAAAGATTATGTAAAGCCCAATTTATCCCTCATAATACTACAGATTCCCCAGATGTTTTTTATTTCTCTGCTAAATTCAGGTCAATTATATCCTGTAATGATTATACAGAAATGAACTTTCTGCAACAGGGTCTTTGTTTCTAATATTTGGGACTAAAGTCATAAAAAAGGTTGATTTTAATTTCTATACCTAATACTTATAATGCAAATGTCAATTCACATTCATAGATGATAGTTTACCCTTCAAATAAGTGGTGAATTATGAATTGGGCGTTCTTAAAAGCAAAATATTATTATTATTTATTTAGAATTCATCAATCAAAGACAATTTCCTTTCAGGGAACAAAATGTTGTGAAATTAGATGTGTTACTTTACAAAACTGGGGTTTTTACATATATTTTATTCGAAAAGGATATTTAAATGAGACTTTTTTTAAATAAAGTAACAGTCTTTTTTTTTTTATCAGTTCTTTTTTCATACATCATACATTTCATGATATTACTTCTTACACTTCTAAATATTTTCCTTGTAATACATGATTTCTATTCTCATATCATCCTTACCATTTTAAAGATTCTGTGTGTGCACTAATAATTTGAGATACATGTATATGCTACAAAGCTGTAAAGCGCTTTGGCACATCGTTGGATCGATGTATTGAGTGCTATATAAAAAACAGAATATTACAAAGCATCTGAAAACTAAAAACAGATACAACTCCTTTAATCAAACTGCAGTTTATTTTTTATTTCACTATTCTTTCTATGGACAAAATTATAATATACACTGCAGCTCTCTTAAACTGATACCCTTTTTTATCCCACTATGTCAACGCAAGTGCAGTGCTTCCTTGATCTTAAATTCATCATAGCAAATATTAATTTGATAAAGCATCTATCTCTTCTCTACCATGTCACGCTCTCTTTCTGCTCTGTTTCATTCACCTACCTTAGAAAGGCTATTATCCTTGGTAGGTCAATTGCTTGCCGCCCCCTTGCTTATATACGAGTAGAAAGTGCAACGGTTGGCTGTATGTAAGTTCCAGCTGACTGCCTGACCAGTGTCTGTTTTAAGCCAATCTGGCTGAATGCTTGAAACACCTAAAGATGCAAAACAAAAGAGGATTTTATAATTTCTATTTTACATAATTATAGTGCTACCTGTGTATTTCTGAAGGATTTTTTGTTCTCTCTAGAAACCCCCTCCTCCTCCTCTTTACTGATCTCTCTCACTCTCTCTCTTTCTCTTTCTTTATCTGATTCTCTCCTTTACTCATTGACCTCTCTTTTTATCCATAATATCTGCTACTTTCTTCTTCTTTTTCTTTCCTCCTCAATCTTCATTTTCCAATCATCATTCCAGCTCTTTTCTTCTCCCTTTCTTTTTATTTTTCTTCCTTGAAAATTGGTCCCTGCATCCTCTGTTCTAATAAATAACAAAATTTGTATTCCATGTACTCCTTTTATTCACATACATTACCCCCCCCCCCCCCCCCTTTAATAGCATTTTCCTATTTTCCCACTCATATTTAAGTTCTGCAGTTCAGAAAGCTCAGTTCCATTATGGTTTCAACATTTGTACACAGGTAACATAAGGAACTAAACATTGAATAATGATACATGTTCAATCCACTGGATATATAAACTCTGCCATTACCTTCATTTCTACTTTATAAATTTAAATGCTTACCTTTCAAAGCTTGCAGATGAGCTGCTTGAGCAGTTGATTAGGGGTCTCTCCACATCAAAGGAGCGAAAGAAAATGATAGCTTGGGGAATCAGCGCCGTGGCAAAATTGGTGAAGATGTGTATCAGAGATGAGCCCTAAACCAATCCCATGAGTTCTTCACACCTGTGTAACCATTAATGTACAAAACAAGCCTCCCACACGTCATTAGAATCCCAGACTGTGAATCTTATCATAGCAGGTGATATTCAACGCTTCCTGAAGAAGACAGAAACAGTGCCGCTTAATCCCGCTAGATCCGCATCGCAGGTCGTTAATGACATGCGGCAGGCTTTATCTCGGCGTTCTCACAGAGAGATTCACCGTGGAGATACCGAGGGTTGTCTGGAGCAGAAAAAGAGGGCTTGTTTGAGCCAGGCACATCCAATTTAATTAGCAATGATCATTACATTATCAACACCACGATACCATCAGTGCCTTCCATAATGAACCATTCAAGGGGGCTCGCTATCAGTGTTTACTATCGACAGAACGGTGATAATGTACGAGACTTATCTCAGGGTTTGTCAATGCTGCTAGATGTCTGATTGTCACAGCCGGGTTGTGAAGTTACCTGTATTGTGTCAGATCGAGCCGCGTCAATTTCCACGCCGATGCATTCAGGGGATGATTTTGATGGATCTCTTGCCTTTCTTCCGATGATCCCTGCCGACAAAAGAACGTTTTAGATCTGTGTCACTAAGCATGCCTAAATTCCCCAACCAATCTGTTTCCTCTATTTACTTAATGTTTTTAATGATAATCATCAAAGTTGCTCTTTAAAAAAAAATGGAATAAGCATCGTAAACATCGTTTCATGGCAAACAAATCACCAAAAAAGTACCCCTACCCTGCATTATCTGATGCCGCTTGATCTTATCTCGAAAGTGAGCAAGCCCGTGGTTGCTTGGTTTCAATTATTACATTTGGAACTGATCTTCTGAATGAAACCTGATATGGGATAAAGCCACAAGGCATTTTATATCCCATTGTTCAAGCGGTATCGTTTGAAAGCCCCCATTCAGTCCAAACAAGGCTTTGCAAATTGGTTTTAACTTACAAGACCACTCTACCATGAAATGCATTGTGGATACAAAACACAATATTTTTTTTCTCCAACACTGGGAGATATTTCTAGAGTTGCATTGTCTAGCTGTAATTCACATCATTCCATTCTTTCTTCAAAAATATTCTCCCGTTTCAAAAGAGGAGTTTGTTCAGTGAATAGGTCATGGTCCTACTTAACATCCAAATCCTCTCACACAGAAATAGACTGATAAATTATCGGCTTGGTAATGATGAGGGAGGATTTACTGTCATCATTTAATAGCTTCACATATGTATGAAGAAAAAGAATCTTCAATAACGATGACCTTGGGATAATACGCAGGTGGTAGTTCTAACAACTCTTCACCTCAAAATGTTGACTTCCCCCACCACCATTACACTCTACAGTGACTTTAAAATCACAATTGTTGCTGTGGTTAAAATAGTTATCAATCAAAATGACACAATTTGTGAGAAGGAGAAAAAGGAAGGGTCAGCCTCCAATGTATGGTTGATAGCCTTTGAAATTGGGCCTTTCTATTATTAAGCTCTTGGCCAATCTAAATAATTTTAATACTATTACACATGTAGTGTTTAGAAGTGTTATTGAATTCTCTCTTTTCTTGATCATTTTTTCTCTCATCTGCTTTGAGGGAAGACAGAGATAGAATCTCATGAGTAGTCAAATTCAATTTCAAATAGAACTCTCTGTTCTTCCCCTCTCTCTCTCTCTCTTTTCTTCTTTGACAGGCTTGTGACAACAATCAACAGAACTTTAATACCAACGGAAATATACCGGTACTATAGTATACATGGAGCTGAATATTTTTATGGTCCGGGCAAATTTATGTCCAAGTACATGTACATATTCATCAATTTCATACTCTAGTTTGATGTAGTACTAGTTAGTAGGGTAATCAGTTTGTCAAATCTCAGATTGTTGTCAAATACTGCCCTCTAAGTAATTATTTCCTGGTCAGCATAATTTTTCTAAATGTTTTTTGTTAAATATGATTACTGCAAAATTGTGTTTGGTTCTTATATATCAGTGGCATTACATGTATCAAAATATTGATAGGCTACCAGTATCATGGGGGGAGGGGAGGAGAGGGTGAAGGAGGGGGAGGCCGGGAAGGAGGTAATATCATCTTCTATTCACATGACATATCTTCTCCCTTTCTTCCTCTCTCAGTCTAGCTTTTTTGCTCTGTTTTTTTCTTTTCTATTTTAGATCCCCCCCCCCCCCCCTAAGTAATGCAACCAGTTTCCATCAGTAAATGTATTTCAAACAAATCTACCGGTATGTATTTGTGCACTATTTCAGGAATTTAAAAAAAGTCATTTCAGCTTTTATTATATCTTTTAGAGAAATAGATAGAACAAAAGTCAATAAGTACTGGTGCCACAATGTGTCCTCCAACCTGGCCTATGCTGAGCTGTGCTGTACTATTATGAATGTAAATCTATACAAATTAAAAGAAATGGCTACAAAGTTACTCTATGCAACTTAATGTCATAACATCAACTTGTGACAATTTAGATCATAAGAACAAAGCATGCACTTGAATCCAATATCCACACACATACGGTAGATGAATGCATATATTGAGAACTAAGCTAGTCACCAAATTAACATCTAACATAGATATGTAGAATTGAACTGAATGAAGGGTGTCAGTTGTAACATAACTATTTTACTTGGGCCGCGTCTATCTTTTTACTTAAAGAATTGGGAAAGTAAATCTACACTACATTTTATTCAGTTTACTTCTTCTCACATATGTTGAAACTTTGACAGTTAGGTCCCCTGCATAAGCACTAAGCAGTGCACCATCATAATGATTAGATTTAGAGCAAGATGCGTGGTAAAGGAACCATATAGCCCCAGAGTCAGGGAGCGCAAGCGGGATAGGAGCGTAACGGGACGCCGCCGGGTTTTCAGGCCGAGCCCGCCGGAGAGAATTGTTTCGCCTATACCACTCATTTTCCACTACTACCAGTATTACGAAACAAAATGGTATCCGTGTATTGTCAAATCGCTGGTTTTACACATTGAATAAAACGTTACATTTCTTTCGCACACGTAATGTAGGGTTCCTTACCATTAGTTTTTTGTATAAGTTATCCTTTTCTTTCAGCTGAATCTTGTAGCTTGCTTCTCTCAAACCGATAACGACTTCCATCCAGTAGTAAATAAACGACAGAGATCGTTGTCTGCGATAGCAATGCACCTGTCGCGGTGCGCGTACGTTGCACGGCGCGTCAACAGCTTTAGTACCCCACCTATAGGGTTGGTATTAATACCGCCCCCCCCCCCCCCCCTACCACCAATACATGGACGATCGAAGCTAGCACAGGGTGAGGCCAGGGTTAAGTGTAAATTTTTGGGTTAGAATAAGTAACGAACTAACGATACTTAAGTTTTTTGATTTAGCTTCATTTGTGAAACGTGCAAATCAATGGACTTCTCACACTGGTCAAATTTTGTAGTGGGTACGTCCTAAAGTTGTTCCCCTGAAAATATAATTAAGTAATTAAAAAGAATGACGTTTTCACCCCGAGTGCCCAAAGTCTCAAAAAAAGAGAGCGGGTAAAAATTATCAATAAAATACGTCCCAAAAAGATCTGACAAACGCTGAACAGGGGTGTGCCATGCCCAAATAAACAAAATGTTATAAATAAATGAAAAGAGTAGTCAAGACAAGAACAACAAAAACAATCACACATAAAACAAAGCAAACAAAAACAAAGGGAAATATTAAAATGTGCATAGGGTAAAGGTTCACAAATTAAGCCTTATTAGGCAATAACGAAGCAAGTGAATTGGCAAGAACAAAAAAACAGCCATCGTAAAGGAAACAGACAAATAACAATGTTAAATCCCGGAGCAGATTAAATAATTTATTGACATCAAATTTTGGTAAACCCTAAGAATTATTTCAATTAGATGGCTTATAAAGAATTGTGATAACTATATTCTATATGTAGATATAGTAGGGCGAAAAATGAGAAATAGTAAAGCTGTACTTCAATTCTTATGGACGACAGAGCTGGAAAAAAGGAGATGATGGTATGAAAATGACAACAGTTGAAGTGACGACTAGGGGCGATAGACATACATTGTACAAATAAGTAGATCTGTATTTGTGTGTACAAGGGCAGATTGTATGACTCTCCTCTCCATGAGAATGTATGGGAATGTATGGGACTGTATTGATAACTGAAGGGAATGTATGGAAATTTTACATATATGAAAAGGGAAATAAGGGTATACATATTATCTAACGTGGGGGAGTTAGAGGGGGTGAATGAAGAAAGAGATAAAAGATAGAGAAGATAAGAAAGAGGGGGAAAGAGATACAGAAAGGTAAAGAAAATAGATAACAAATATAATCGTTGTAGAGAGGGATGGGGAACCTATTCAATTAAATTCGTTTTATTAAACCATTTAAAATATTAAAAAACAGTATACAAATTATGCATGTATGAACATTTATATTGATACAGTGTAAATGGTCAGAGTGCCCCTCACGCCAAGGCTTGATTAATGGAGCACCCAACACATAACGAAATATACATAGAAAGAAAAAAACTTAGTTTAAACAAAAACATTAAAACATTAAGCACTAAACTTAAAGGTAAAGGGGAATAGGAAAAGGTAAAATAAGAAAACTGAAGGAGGAGAGATCAAATTGTATGTTTATTTGGCATAGGTAGTTATATTGCAGCACGCTAACCTATAGAGAGAATGAGAGAGGTATAAAAGGTGAAGGGTTTCGTCCATGGCATAAACTGAACATTGTAAGTACCTTGCCGCATATGCCTTTAGCGTTATGCATGATCTGCATGATCTGGAATCCTCTCCATTTTTGTTTTTAGTCGCTCTATATATTTATTGCATTGTGCACTATAGTATACTTTGTATTGTTAACGCAGTATTGTGACCATTATTATGATTGCATTGTGAAAACATTACAGTTAAAACAACCTTGTATTACGGATGGAACGATTTGCAAACATAAAGAGGCACTGTAGAGCAACTCATCGTATATGAACAAATAGTTTCAAATTCATCATACATTAGGTAAAGTTGAATGGTCATATCCAAAATGTGCTTTTTAACCCCCAAAATCAAAAGAATAGCGCAAAATGAGATCACACATAAAACCCGCACGGTTACAATACAGACAGCCTCATAAAGATAAGGATCAATATTCGCATCAAAGCCTACAACATTAGTTGCTGTAAATGAATGTGAACACGTTATATTATGATCATCGCTACCTGAGAAGAGTACATTTATATATTTTGAGACATATTATTTCCTTTTTTCATTACAAATGTAACTATTGATGATGTGAAATATTGATGAATAAACAGGATCTGCTCATTAACAGATATTATCAGGGATTTGTATTGACTGGATCTGGAAGTGAACAAAATTTAACATTTATTCGAAAAATGGTATGTATGAATACAACAGGAGGCCAGTATTTATAAAAACGTACAAAGTTAAATTCATGTTAAATTCAAGTGGGTAAATTTAGTCCATGAATTGCAACTACCATAACCCTTAAACAGGATACCGTAATTCTGCAACGGAATGAACAAATATGATTCAGGTAGACATGAAATCGAGATGTAATTCTTTATTTCATGGCTGAATTAATGTCATCTATTCATTTGACAGAATTACAGTAATTTGTCAACAATAAAGAGCTTCGCATTCATTCATCGCTGTAAATCTTTGGACTTATAGTTAAACCAGGTTTAACTTAATCCGCTTATAACGGTGATGATGATTATAAGCCAAAACGACCCCGTTACTATGCCCTGTACAAATTTGAAAGAATTGTACATGAATGAGAACTTTTAATTGGCCCAAGTGATGAACAAACATAAGCCTGCATGTAAGGAAGAGGTTGAATATAAGATTTTTTTCAAAAGACGATTTCCTCTTGACTTGTATACGGCAGCTACCCAACAGGGCAACTAGCAACATGACAGCTACATCCCTGAAAGTTTTCCCTAAGAAAATTACCTTGAATACAGATGACCGTACTTCCTGCTATATAAGCCCTACAACATCAATGACTTATGCGTTTACTATTTTTATTATTATATATTCGCAAAGACTTAGAAAAATCAGTGAATACAAAACAAGAGTACATTATTTTGGAAGAGAGTCACATGAATGCCGGGAAAAGAAAAAAGATTGACTTAATAACTATAACCAGAAGGTCTACTTTTCCAATCCGCCATGTGCAACAGAAATGGAAAGAATAAAGTGGTGAGGTATTAACAATAATCTTTCATGATTCTGTAGAACACTAAATAACTGGTGGTTATTAAACTGAGTAAATAAATATTGTCAGTTTAGTAGATTTTCGGATTGACCATCTTTCTTTTGGATTACCGTGGTAGATATCCATGGACTATCATGATGCGTAATGACATGCTGCCATCTTCGGCCAATTGATCAGAACTTCGCCTCCCGCTCTTCATTAAAACAAAAATAATATCTCTCTTATCTCCCTTGACAGACGCCAACAACAGACTATGCAACTCATCTGCGAAGACATTCTTATTTGTGTTCGTGTGTTGTTCAGGTGTTTGAAATTCCCGATTTTTTTTTCCTTAGTGTCGGTGAATGCAAAGTATGTCACCTGCCATTATTTGACATGCCTCACGAATTATAATATAGAACTTAAGCTTATCTGCCGTAGTTTATAGGAGGGATTAGACCGTCCTGCAAGGTCACTGGACAGGTGGTTATCTCATCAACTCAGCTCTCAGTTAACATAAGAAAAAGAGGATCATGGGGGACCAATGGTCACCGATTAGGCATTGTTTGTTATATAGAGGGCGCAAGTAGTTACAAGTAGTGCAGTGGGCCTTTAAAGAAAAGCCCACACCTTTGCCGGTGGGATAAGATATATCATTGTCAAGTCAATGCGGGAAATGGAACGAATGGATGTAAGTCATTACATCATCTACGGTGAACATCAGAAATATTATTCAAAGGCAGTGAAATGACTAGATTACTCGAGGAGAAAGAATTAGAAGGCTTGAATCAAAAGTAATTAATCACGAGGAAGCCGCATTTCAAACAGTGTAGTGTTTACAAACAAAATTATCATAATATACTTTAGCAGGCTTCAAGTAACCACTGCCAGAAACGAAACCTGGTACTAACCAATGATAAAGAACGGCCCAAATCAAACAGAATGTCAACATTATCTACATTCTGATTCCTCTAACTAGTGAAATTTTTGTGTGAAATACACTTCCATTTGATTTGATCCAATTTTTAAACATAGAATTAGTTAACCGACTGGAATATATAGATATGAACCCCTTTTTCATAGCCTTATTTTTGTTTAAATAAACAAATCTGTACAATCGAAATTGAAGGCTTCCGGAAACACCATGAGGGAACTTATTGAAAAGGCTGTTGATATATGATTTCTGTTTATTGACAAAGCAATTTAATTAAGCAAATATTATCAAAATAGCAAACAAAGCACATTCATAAATTCTCTGATAACATTAAATTAGCTTAGTACAATGTATATTTGCACATTGATATACTCTTGCACTTCGACTGAGCGATAAATGCAACGACATCTCCAACACAACTGTTAATCCT